AAAAAAAAAAAAAAAAACTTCTGACCCCTTCCAAGTCAATATTTAGTAGAGGAATCTGTACATTGAAACAGCATGAAGTCTATGGAAGCTGTTAGAAAGGCTCACATCAGGTCCGGTATGTGCAGGCACGAAGGCTAATTAACTACTCAGTGGCACAGTTAGGAGACAGGACAGTTTCTGCTGCATGAAAACTCTGATGTGGACTGGGACAACACAGTACGTTTTACACATCTCTATTCTAGAAAACGGGCTGTTAGCAAGGGTTAATGGTCACAGACAGAGTTAATTGACAGGCGGCGCAACGGTGCAAAGCTTGCTGATCTTGTTGTTCAGTTGTACCGCCAGTTTAACACACATCCTAGTGACTCACCATGATAACATGTTGTTAAGATATGTTTAGATATGCTGTTATCTGTTCCATAATGATTAGTTGTGTTTGGAAGTGATTAGCCAACCAGGTCCCTTTTTTGTATGTGAGGCATTTACTCCTGAAGAATTAGTAGATCACCTTTTTACAGTAAACAATTTCTAGAGTTTTCACTGCATTGTTAATGTGTGTTGTTTCATATTTATCATTAGCGAATGTAGAAATAATAACCAGTACTGAAGTGTTTCCCCACCTGGCCATGAGTATCTCCTGGAGGTTTTCCTGGTTCAAATCGTACAGCGAGCCCAAAGTCTCCGATGATTGCAGTCAGATCATCTCGTAGCATCACATTCTTACTCTTGAAGTCCCTGGGAAATTAATTTCAGGACAAATTTGTTACAATGCTGCAAGTAAAGTAGTGGACTTCCAGGGCAAATGACAAAATAAAGCACAACCAGAAGAGGGCAGTAGCAATTAAAGGTTTCACATAAAAACAAAAGGTAGTCTGGTTTTCAGTGCCTTGAGGTTCAGGAAGAAGTTTGTTTTGCCTACCTGTGTGCAATAGTGGGTTTGGGCCCCTCTCCCTTGTAGCTGGGAATGTCCTCATGGAGGTAGGCCAAGCCGCGGGACATGGTCTCTGCTATTTGACACAGCTCACTCCAGGTCACAGTGTTACCCTTCAGGTGGTCTGTCAGTGAGCCCTGCGCACGTAAACGAGCACAAGATTCAGGAGGTAAGGATTAGTAACTGCACAAGAATCCTTATATTCACATAACTCAGCTTAAAATATCATTAAAAATACTGACAGAAATGGAAACATCTAACCCAGCAGATGACACATGCACCAATGGCACTGAGACAATAACTGTAACTAAATACGTTTGTGTCATTGCCATGGATAGCGGGTGCTACAAGGACGAGCATTAAAAGTCATTACACAAATGTTATGCTACATTTGTGGTTATGGTAATTATTGTATAATCCTGTTTAGATATATTAAAACCTTTGTTGAGAGGACCAATGAACAGGATGTTCTGGTTGCCTCGAGGTGTTTAAATCATACGGTATTATTGCAGACAAACACGTTATTACTGCCATTTGTATTTGGCATAAATTACTATTATTTTTACACTACATGCTTAAAAGATAAGCTGTATAAATCTAAGCAACACAATTCTGTCACTTTAAGGTATTCTGGGTACTGCAGACCTGCCGTAAGTAATAAAATCCTCTTTTTATTAATAAAAGCTGTGATGCTCTTTTGTTGAGGTAAATAAAGGCCTCTGCCAATATTGGAAAAAGTCCATCAGTCCTAGTAAACATGGCCTTATATCTCGCCATGAATTTGCTATATATGGGCGTATATATGGGGAGACTCACCCTTTCGTGAAACTCTGTGATGAGCCACAGCTCCGTCTCCAGGTTGCTTCCGTGCTTCTCTGCAGCGATGTAACGCAAGAGGTTTTCGTGTCGCATTCCTGGAGTCATGAATATGTCCCGCTCGTTATGCCATGACTGCTTGTCCTACACAAACCACACAAAGTTTTGCTTAGGTCTTGATGATTTATAAAAAGCCCATTTGAAAATAATGGCACCCATTGTTTATGTTACGCAATGCACCTAGCCCCTTTTTGTGCCTCTCCCGTCTTAACATTACATTCAAGTCACAGCATTAAGCACCCGGTTTTCCAATAACTACAGCCACTTCCTAGAAATCTCAGAAGCCCATTTAACACTTAAAGCTGTTATGAAGG